CCCGCCCGCCCAAGGAATTTTGGTGTGAGTCTGGGTGGTATGCGGTTGGGGTCTTTGGAGGCCATCAAATAATAGGTGCTGGTGGTTAAGGTTTGGGGGACCTATCTTGGTATGGGTCCTCTATTCAGCTAATTTTGGAGTGTATGCGCTCAGTTGGTGGTTGTCCCCGAGGCGGTGTGTTGCGGCTGGGGGCCTAACAGGTGGTAGTACTGCCGCAAGTAACGGATCAATGGTGTGGCCTTCAAAGACCTGCAACTTTTGTTATGGTAATTGTTTATATATATAATATGTTTTATATATAAAGTTGTTAATAAAAGGCCGCCAAGGCCATTTTATACCAAGTTGGAGTGTGGTCTAGTTATTGGTACAAGGACGGGTGGTGGGTGGTCTTGGGGGCTTGTAATGGGAAAGTATGGCAACATCTATGCTACCTTAGTCAAGAGAGGAGGCGGAGGCGGAGACAGTGCAGAGACGGAGCGGCACAGTAAGGGGAATATGTAATGCCTGCTCAGACTGGCCGCGCCGCTCACTTGCTGAAATCCCAACCTGGCAAAATGAGGTGGCTGCTGTGCGGGCCACATTACAAGGGCCGGCGGGCCGGATTCGGCCCGCAGGCCTTGTGTTTGCCACCCCCTGCTCTAGACAGTCTTTATCACTTTAGAGAGGTTGCTTAACAGTATCAGAGATTCAGAGCTCCAACAGGAGTAATACTTGCTGTTTTGGACAAGTGAAGGATGCAGTGATTCCTGTGGCTGGGAAGGCAGCGATCCGGCTCTGGCAGTCCAGGGGAGATGGGTCCTAGGCTTCAGGAGGCAACAGGCACTTCTGAGCCCAATTGTGGAATGCCATGTTGCCTCAGCTGAGCCTTTAAATACCCCCAGGAAGCAGGAGGAGCCGTCGGCCGGAACGAGTGACACCGTGGAACGCAGAGCGGCCGTCCGCGCAGAGGGGCTGGTCGGAGTGACACTTCCCCGCCGGGACTCGTTACATCTGGATGATCTATTCTTTAGAACAATAATGATATATTGTACAAGCTGAAGCCAATTATAGTTAGTTTATACATAGATTTACATTTTTTTAAAACTATTTCTATAAAATATTTGTTTTTCATAATTCTGCCCCCTCCCCCCCCCCCCCCCC